CGCTCCTCGTCTGCGCTGTTGCTGCGGGAGGCGGCCGTCCTGCTTCAGAGCCCTGCCTTGGAGGTTTTCTGCGCTGTCCTGGTCTGGTGGTGAAGGCTTTGGCGGGAAGAACGAACAGAGATGCTCTTGACACAAACTTGCTGGGAGCAGCGTGGCCCCCAAGCGCGCGGTACTTGGGCCCTTCGTCCCTCTGAAATGGCAGCTGCAGCACTACCCACACCGGTGCGTCCACAGTAGCGCTGCCATATGGGAGAAATCGTTTTTCCCTTTGTGTTTTCCTTCTAAACATCGGCGATAAGGTTTCCCCTGCAGTCATTAATCCGGCTAACAGCCAGGGCTGTAGATCGCTTGTGGTTTACTTGTTCTTGAACGCTGCTTATCTCGACCATGGAAGGCCGGTAATCTTGGCCAGTAAGAGAGGCTTTTGTATGACTTCCTTTGCCAAGAAGTTGTGGGTTTGTTTTTAAAGAAGATTTCTGTGCAGAAAAATGCATCGCTGCTTCTGAGTTGTAGGAGGGTAAAAGTGTTGAAGACTGGCGAACCAGTCAGATTACAGCTGGTATTGGTAATTCTGACTGGATAACTTCAGAACGTGCGTGCGGTGCTGTAGTGGTGTATTTAAAACCACTGTATTTTAAATAAAATGTATGATACTTTGTTTTCCCCATCCAGATTACAGGGCCTGATAATAAAGGGATTTATAAAGGCGATCGAGAGTCCAGTGGAAAATACACATTTGCTGCCCACATGGATGGAACTTACAAGTTTTGCTTTAGCAACAGAATGTCCACCATGACTCCCAAGATAGTGATGTTCACTATCGATATCGGGGAAGCTCCAAAGGGGCAAGACATGGAGACAGAAGGTGAGGAAGACTCCTGGAAAGAAAGTAGCTTGGCTCGGGAGCTTTTCCCTACGTGCATGACTTCTGAACTTGACTAGGATTCTCAGAATTCCTGATCCTTCATGCCGCCTGGTTAGCTGTTCTCTTGCAGAGCTAAAACGGATATGGATGTTTTTAGACCTCGTTACATGATTTAATGCAGAATCACTAGGGAATCACTTGGCCATCTGCAGAAACTAATGCTTTTGTCCGTTAGCCTTTTCATCAGTTTCATTCTCTGATTTCTAGTTTGCTCAGCAGTATGTAGACTACTGTATGCATTAGTTGAGCTCTTTGATAAATGTGCTAATATAAAAGTTTTCTCTTAGCCGTGTAAATTACTGTTTTATCTGCAGCGTGTTGTCCTGTACTTGTGTTCATCTCTTACACTTTCCTCTAGGTGGTGGAGATACCTGGGATGGTATGTGTACTGCTTTTTGAAAGCTCGTTAGCATCTTGTCTTTTGCATACATTTATTCACTAACAGCTAACGTTTGCTTTTTCTCTGTAACATTTGTTTGTAGCATGAGAATGTTTTTTTAATAAGCTACAGGTCTGATTCTGAGCAATGCTGAGCACCTGCAAGCTTTCATCGAGAGGTTTATTTACTTAGCAGCTCTTGGGATCAGGTCCGTGAACTGTCCATGAGAGTTTGTCTTCAGGTGGTTATTTGTGGCTAACAGAAGACTTAATCAGGAGTTTTAGGTGAAATTAAACTAAAACACTGACCATCCAAGAACATGGGGTATTTTAGACGGTGTTTGCTTTCTGTTGCTAACGTGGGTGATGAGTAATCAAGGGCTTTTGGAAGCAGTATCTCCTCCTTTTACCTTATGAATGATCAGTAATGTTAGCAGGGGAAAAACTTCAAACTTGTCACTTGCTGTAAAAGAAAGAAATTAACATATTGGGTAACAAGTTAGAAAGTTTTGTTTAGAAATCAGTAACTGTAGCTAGAAAGGCAATAAATTCTGGTTTTCTATTTTAGCAAGTAAATAACTGTGCATTGAGTACTTGATATCACTTGAGAAGTATCAAATTCCTAACTTGTGATTTTTTTTTTTTTTTTTAAAGACTCGGTTAAATCTTTTATTGAGTCTGACCATATCTGTTGTAAATATTAGAGCAGCTTTTAAATTCTTAAGGCAAACACTTTTTCTTGAGTGTATTTTTTGGGAGTGGGTTTAAACAATCCCTGCAACTGTAATTTATTCTCATACTAAAGAACTGCACTTATTTCAGTGTCCAGCTGGCCATAAAAATAAGGGATTTATGATATTAGCAGAGTAAGTCTGGTTCACACAACTATTTAAGATTTTAATTGTGACTTATATGAGCATTATTCTCTGGTCCTCTTTTTGACTGTTCGCCATCAGGTGTGTGTTTTGAGTAGCTTTGTTTTCAGATTGGGATCTGAAACTATTTATAAACAAAAACCTAATAAGGTAGCTTCAGAGTCAAGAATGTCCCTTAAATGGAGAATGTGTTGGATTTTGTGACTTTTTGAAGAGACCTGATTGCCCAGGGCCTGTCTGTGGAACGATATGTTGAACTTCTCTTGGTGCTAGAAAACTTTGAAAATTACTTGCATAATTTATAAATCTGTGAGTGGACTTGAGCATGAAGGTATTTAAAAGATCCTGCGATTGACAGTCAAATCACTAAATCTTGGATCTCCGATCCTTCCACTTGCTGAACTATCTCAAGCTAGTTTTCTGTTAGCATTGGTTTGGTATTTTCCTCTGCTGCTTTCACGGCGTACCAGAACCTGAAGCCGGTTCCTGCTCTCTGCCAGGCCCCTTTGGCATTGTTTCTGCTGAATGCTGTGCTTCAGCTAAACCGGAAGATCACCAGATGTGATACGTTGCTTCAGAAAGTGATCTCGTTTTGCCAGCATCATGATCTTAAGCTAAATTCTCAGTCGTTCTATTTTTGCAAGCTTAACAACTAGGAAAAGCTGTAATTTAAGATAATTTGCTTGGAATATGTTGGACGGCAAAATAGATACTAGTGTGTGGTATTGATCTCGTGTGTTCTTGCATTCTGTTGCTCTGGAAAAGTATGCCTATATCGGAAAGAAGTGGTCTGTACTGACTCTAAATTGTGTGTATTCTGCCTTCTGGTCGGATGTGGAGGAAGATGTGTTTCCACTTATTTAATACCGTAGAGACGTGTTAGGAAAAGCGGCGCTGTGAAAACAAAACTTTACTTTGCTGTAAGGATAGAAAATTTTCTGCTGTACAGACTGCATTTTTCAGAACTACTTCTGCAACAGGAAATTAAGTATAACTGTTCATAAGTGTTAACAAATTGTTTTTTGAGTCAAGAACACTTTCTGATGCTTCTGAAATTTTTCCACAGCTCATCAGAACAAGCTAGAAGAGATGATTAATGAGTTAGCAGTGGCCATGACAGCTGTAAAGCATGAACAGGAGTACATGGAAGTTCGTGAAAGAATACATAGAGCAAGTATGTGTCTTTTGACTTAAATGCCTGTCCCCTCTCAAATGAACTTGCAAAATGTGATTTAAAATACGAGTCCATGAAAGCTATTCCAAGTTACTAAAAAAAAAAAAATTTAGAACAAGTTCTGAAGGACCTGCCCATACAATAAAGAATGTAGTTGATGCCTGCAGTCGTCTTCAAATTGATTCACCTCTCGTATAATGAAGCTTGTTATGCAAAATCATCTTTGCTTAATTGGTGTAAATTCTGTAGTTCTTTAAATTGCATATTCGTGAAGATGCCGGTAACAATATGGTTCCCAGGGACAGACTTTAGTTGAACAATTACTTCGTCCTTGCCATGGGTGTGGCTTAATAATGGAGCCAAAGTAATTTTTAAATATTTTGTCGAAATAGAGCAGAACTACGGTTATTTCCAAGTAGAGAATATGGTCAGCTCTCCAGTCACAGCCCTCACTTCCTGAAATACAGCTTTAAAATATGACTGAGAGCGCTAAGTGGTGCGTTAGGGGAAGCCCACTGAGAATAAAGGGCGAATATTTGTAATGTGAAAATACAATGTGATATTAAAGCATTGGCGCCTCGACTCTTTGAATCTACAAATATCTCCGGTTTTATGACTTTTGTTACTAGTGGTCTGATTGAAGAAAAAGCTGAATTGTTATAATGAAAGATGATGAACCTTTAGGGATTTGAAATTCCCCGCTTGACTTGGAGACCATAATATGCAACTGTTACTTGAAAAAGCAAGTGGCTTCTGTTTGGCACTTGGGGGCTTCTGCCTGGCCGCTCTGAAGGTGGGCAGGATAGAGAAAGATGCTGCAGCGTGTGTCCAAAGTTGAGGTTCAGGCAGCTGCTCGTGTAGCACGGTGCAAGCTGTTCAGAGGAACACCCCTCCCTCAGCTCTCAGATCTCATCTCCAAGACTGCAGAGTCCTTCTGGAACGCTTGCAGTGACCGGGTACAAATACCGGTGGTTTGTCTGCTGTACTTCAGTTCAATGACAAAGTTGTTTTAGGTTTTTGTTTTAAATGCTTTGTTACTTACCACTTCGTTTGTTTTTTTTTTTTTTTTTCCCCCAACATTTAAAGACAACACAAACAGCAGAGTGGTTCTTTGGTCATTCTTTGAAGCTCTTGTATTAGTTGCCATGACACTGGGACAAATCTACTATCTGAAGAGGTTTTTTGAAGTCCGAAGGGTTGTTTAAGAGTACTTTTCTGGTCCCGGATTTCAGTTCACTGTCTACCAAACATCCTGGTCACAAAAAAAGTCATTTAGTTTCTGAACCCTCTTTACTGAACTGTAAAACTTATTTGCTTATGTTCCTTCCTAGTTAAAAATTGTTTTTATATATCTTCTGTAGCAAAAGCTGTTCTGAAATCTTGTCACTTAATTGGCATATTTTTTTCACTCCATTCTGCCTAGTCTGTATGCTAAGCGAGGTCCGAGCAAGCTGCAAGTGCTGTAATGCAACTGTAGTAACAAGCGATGCTGATGTCTGTTCTAACTTCTTTTCCTCTCCTCTGTTTTCATCAATACTTGCAGTTCTGTCTAGGGAAATGGTACAAGGCCCGAACGTGACTGTTTGCATTTTTGACATCTTTAACCCTGCAGTAGGTGTTAGGAAATCGAAATAATCCCTTCTTCACTTACATAAACTGCCAAGGAGAAGCAATTGGAACTTTATTCTGACAATGAATAAAAGACAGCTGACAGCTCCCACTCTAGTATTCATACCTAGTTGCTATTTAAAAGGAGTTCTTCAGTGACTATCCTGTCCTAATTACGTCAGCTTACTCCCAAAGTTCTTTTAAATTAAATAGTCGATATGAGAATACATTTTCTCCTCCGATTACGGAATGTTCATCGTGTGGTTTTTAGCCCTTTCGCAGGTTTTCTGTCGAAGCCGACTGTGTGCAGTGTCTTGGTGAGCAACGGTTCACCCTTTGGTTTCTGCAGGCCCGAAGCTCCGACGGACGGCACCGCTGTGGAATGCACGGGCGCGCGGGGAGTCTCGGTTCCTGGTGCCAAAGGGTTAATGGTTCTGGGGGTTTATTGCGATGCTATGCAGCCCTGGTATTTAAGTGGCAGTCTCTGCCGTTACCTGATCATCATTAGCATAATGCTAAATACTGGTGTGTTTTCTTTTTCAGGCACATGTAGATTTGTTTTTGTATAAAGTTACTTTTCTCGGTATCTGATAATTGGTTTAAAAATTAAAGAAGCGTCTGATGTGGGTGCTGAGCCAGGATTATGTTGTGACTGATGTATATTAGTTGTAATCATTTTGGGGGTGGGGTGGGGTCTTTTCCAGGGGGGAGCCTCTACAAGCAACACACAACAGTTTTGTACAATTAATTTAAAATTTGTTACAGGTTTTCATGTTCCAGGTAAAGTTTTTTCAACCTTGGGCAAACACTTGCAGCAGTTCTTCAGAAAGGTGGCTGTTACACCTTATTGTGACTGTTGTGTGCCAATATTTTTGTGTAAAAACACTTAAAATTGAATTCTAAGATGTACATTTAAAAATTGCTTGTGAATCTAAACATGACCCAGGTTCGATAAATAAACAAATTCTTTAAAAAAGAAAAAGTAATTTTTTTTTTTTTTCTTCGATGCTTTAAGGCAGTACAGTTTGACACAAAGCTTTTTCGTGATGCATCTCGTAGGCTGTCGGGAATTCATCCGAAAGCCATCCTGCTTTGTCAGCAGGTAGAGGAAATTGCAGCTCGTTCTAAACCTGCAGGTTTGCTACTCAACTCCGGGCAGCTGGGTGTCACCGTGCGTCTGTATGACCCGCAGGAGTGCTTATTACGATAGACCGCTTGCCGTAAAAATACGGTATTTTTTGCTATATCCGAAGTGAGGTGTAGAAGCCGGCTGGGGCGGAACTACGGTGCTGCGGCGGCTGTTTCCGCACTGCTGAGTCGAGGCCGGGCCGCGGGGCGGGAAGGACGGGACCGGGCGGCG